AAGTCTGATTGATTTCTTAGCAGCTGACTACTTATGATATGTATTTGACCCTATCGATGTAATCTCATGTATCAGATATTTTTTATGATCCATGATGATTTAGTTTCATGCTATGAATACATTTACAAGACATTCAAACTATTATGATTAGAATTAAGAGAATATTGTTCGCAATATTGTGTACTATCTTAGTATGATTATTCTTGTCCGCTGGACCAGACATTCTGATAACATCACTGTTTTTTTTTTTTTCAACATGTTTTTGCATATTTCTTTCACATGTACATACGCACACCCAGTTCACTGTTATTTTTTCATCCTTTATATAGTCTCTCCTGACCAGCTTCTTGATAGATATTTTTTCTTTACATTCTACCATCTATTTATGCCCTCCATGAATAGTATTAACTCTAATTTCAGTTCATTGGGACGCACGATTCACTGTATACATTGGTTGCTTGGTAACCACACTATCACTTGATTGGTGAGTACACTCTACATTTTCTTATTTAAATCTTCACTGTCACTAGGTATTTTGAACTTGAGAAAACATCGATCAAAACATCGATCTAGCATTTTCTTTGACAAATGTAAAAACTTTGGAATTAATCACTGAGTTTATACACGGATGAGACCTGCGAGTGCACCCTTCTTTACTAATCTACATAGAACGTGGCACTGCACCAAGGCAAGCAATATTTATAAACTGCAAGGGTGAGTGCCAAGTATATATATATATATATATATACATATATAAACAATCTTACTTACCACAGTGCATTACCCAGTGTCTGTGTGTGTTCAGTGAGCATGCGTGCACGTAGTTCTGCCCCACATAATGACACGGTGCGTACTTCATGATGTCATACGTTTACTGTTGTCATGACTATATGGGTTCTCTATGATAATAGTGATGCCGATACAGGGCTGAGTTCTGAGATAGATATGAACAGAAAACTACTGTTGCTAGTGCCTGTGATAATATATATATATATATATATATATATATATATAGATTGGTATCAAAATACCTTTAGAATGTACATATATATTTAAATTCTACGAATATATTTCCTGTAATATTTTTATATAATTAAGTAATTTTATTGATTACAATTTGAGGGACCTGCCTAACAACCCTGGCAGAAAGTCAGGAGAATTTAGTTAGCAAGCCCTATACTTAACCCTGTAACTTTCCAAGACACCACAAAACCTGTACATGGGGGGTACTGTTATACTCGGGAGACTTTGCTGAACACAAATTAAGGAAAATGTAAACCATGCTTACTGTAATTTTCTTGGCTATTTATCATGACAGTATCACCTATGTAGAGCTCTGCCCTCAGAACCAGAACAGGACACACACCAGTCCACTAAACAGGGCTATACATAGGACACGAGGTCACGCATTTAAGCTGGAAGAAAGGAGATTTCATCTAAGGCAAAGACAAGTTGATTTTTTTTGGTTGGTTTTTACAGTAAGAGCAACAAGCAAATGGAATGATCCGCCTGAAGATGTGATTTTATCAGAGTCCATACATATGTTTAAACTGCAATTGGATAAATACTTGCAAAAACATAACATACAGGGATATCATTTCTAATTAGTGGGGTAATAGCTGCTTGATCCAAGGAGTCATCTGCTATTTTGGGGTCAAGAAGGATTTTTTTCCTAGTGTGTTGCAAAATTGGAAGCACTTCAAACTAGGTTTTTTTTGCATTCTTTTGGATCAACAGCAAAACTACATGTGAGGAAGGCTGAACTTGATGGACGCAAGTCTCTTAGCAATGTAACTATGTAATTATAAAGTCACAAAAAAACCCTAGGGAGGGAACATAATGCTGCCATGATAAAAAGCCAGAAAAAGAAAATTACAGTAAGTATGGTTTAATTTTTGTTCCTTATTCCTGGCTAATCATGGCAGCATCACTTACTGGTAATACCTAAGCTAATTTAAGAATGGTGCAACTGGGCATTGGAGAAGATGCCATGTGACTATGGCCCCTGGGATGTATTGCCCTTTAAGAAACTTATTTGGGCTTATTTCATTTTGAAACACCTTTTCTGCCCCTTTGAATACATGGGAAGGTGTGCCCCTCCTCTGTTTCCTGTCTATTGAGAAAAAAAAGAAAATTTTCCAATGATTGCAGCACCAAAGTGATTTATTATAAACTTAACAGAAGACAGAACACTTCTACCGAATTTAGTAGAGGAAGAGGCCAGATCGAACTTGTAATGTTTAATAAATGTCCCTGGAGAAGACCAGATCTTGGCTGGTTCAGTTTTATTATACTTTTGGTATGCATCTGCTATAACTGCTGTTATCCAACGTCTAACTGTTAAAGAAGAGACTGCTTATCCTTTCTTGGAACCATTAGGTAGGATGAAAAGTTTTTCCTACTTCCTAAAGTCTTAAGTAGTTTCTAAATATTTTATTAAATACTCTCGAATATCCAGTTCATGAAGCTTCACTTCCTCTGGAGTTTGAAGATTCAGAAGGAAGGGTGGTAAAACTACTTCTTGACCAATGTGGAAATCAAATACCACTTTAGGAAGAAATTTTTGAACCGGTTTAAGGAAAAACTCTGTCGTGGAAGATTAGAGTATGGGAGTCTTGAGATGAAAAGGCTTGGAGTTCGGTAATACATTTAGCGGTTTTGTGGGTTAGATGTTGGACAGAGATCTGTGAGAGAGAGGCA